GACAAAAATCAGTTAACCACTTAACTGAGGAACTCAATTTAACCTTGCGCAATACCCTAGATGCAGTTGCACCCCTAAAAACGAAAAACATTTGTCATAAGAAACTAGCTCCCTGGTATACAGAAAATACCCGAGCTTTGAAGCAAGCTTCCAGGAAATTGGAACGGAAATGGCGCCACACCAAACTGGAAGTCTTCCGACTAGCTTGGAAAGACAGTACCGTGCAGTACCGAAGAGCCCTCACTGCTGCTCGATCATCCTACTTTTCCAACTTAATCGAGGAAAATAAGAATAATCCAAAATTTCTTTTTGATACTGTTGCAAAGCTAACTAAAAAGCAGCATTCCCCAAGAGAGGATGGCTTTCACTTCAGCAGTAATAAATTCATGAACTTCTTTGAGGAAAAGATCATGACCATTAGAAAGCAAATTACGGACTCCTCTTTGAATCTGCGTATTCCTCCAGGGCTTAGCTGTCCTGGATCTGCACAGCTCTGCGAGGGCCTGGGATCGGGAGAGACACTTAAGTGTTTTAGTACTATATCTCTTGACACAATGATGAAAATAATCATGGCCTCTAAACCTTCAAGCTGCATACTGGATCCTATTCCTACTAAACTGCTGAAGGAGCTGCTTCCTGTGCTTGGCCCTCCTATGTTGAACATAATAAACAGCTCTCTATCCACCGGATGTGTACCAAACTCACTAAAAGTGGCAGTGATAAAGCCTCTCTTGAAAAAGCCAAACCTTGACCCGGAAAATATAAAAAACTATCGGCCTATATCGAATCTTCCATTCCTCTCAAAAATTTTAGAAAAAGCTGTTGCGCAGCAACTCACTGCCTTTCTGAAGACAAACAATGTATACGAAATGCTTCAGTCTGGTTTTAGACCCCATCATAGCACTGAGACTGCACTTGTGAAGGTGGTAAATGACCTTTTAATGGCGTCAGACCGAGGCTCTGCATCTGTCCTCGTGCTACTAGACCTTAGTGCTGCCTTTGACACCATCGATCACCACATTCTTTTGGAGAGACTGGAAACCCAAATTGGTCTACACGGACAAGTTCTGGCCTGGTTTAGATCTTACCTGTCGGAAAGATATCAGTTTGTCTCTGTGAATGGTCTGTCCTCCGACAAATCAACTGTACATTTCGGTGTTCCTCAAGGTTCCGTTTTAGGACCACTATTGTTTTCACTATATATTTTACCTCTTGGGGATGTTATTCGAAAACATAATGTTAACTTTCACTGCTATGCGGATGACACACAGCTGTACATTTCAATGAAACATGGTGAAGCCCCAAAATTGCCCTCGCTAGAAGCCTGTGTTTCAGACATAAGGAAGTGGATGGCTGAAAACTTTTTACTTTTAAACTCGGACAAAACAGAGATGCTTGTTCTAGGTCCCAAGAAACAAAGAGATCTTCTGTTAAATCTGACAATTCATCTTGATGGTTGTAAAGTCGTCTCAAATAAAACTGTGAAGGACCTCGGCGTTACTCTTGACCCTGATCTCTCTTTTGACGAACATATCAAGACTGTTTCAAGGACAGCTTTTTTCCATCTACGTAACATTGCAAAAATCAGAAATGTTCTGTCCAAAAATGATGCAGAAAAATTAATCCATGCATTTGTTACTTCTAGGTTAGACTACTGCAATGCTCTATTTTCCGGCTACCCGGATAAAGCACTAAATAAACTTCAGTTAGTGCTAAATACGGCTGCTAGAATCCTGACTAGAACCAAGAAATTTGATCATATTACTCCAGTGCTAGCTTCCCTACACTGGCTTCCTGTTAAGGCAAGGGCTGATTTCAAGGTTTTACTGTTAACCTATAAAGCGTTACATGGGCTTGCTCCTACCTATCTTTCCGAGTTGGTCCTGCCGTACATACCAATACGTACGCTACGGTCACAAGACGCAGGCCTCCTAATTGTCCCTAGAATTTCTAAGCAAACAGCGGGAGGCAGGGCTTTCTCCTATAGATCTCCATTTTTATGGAACAGTCTGCCTACCCATGTGAGAGACGCAGACTCGGTCTCAACCTTTAAGTCTTTACTGAAGACTTATCTCTTCAGTAGGTCATATGATTGAGTGTAGTCTGGCCCAGGAGTGTGAAGGTGAACGGAAAGGCTCTGGAGCAACGAACAGCCCTTGCTGTCTCTGCCAGGCCGGTTCCCCTCTCCACTGGGGTTCTCTGCCTCTAACCCTGTGGCAGGGGCTGAGTCACTGGCTTGCTGGTGCTCTTTCATGCCGTCCCTGGGAGGGGTGCGTCACTTGAGTGGGTTGAGTTACTGACGTGATCTTCCTGTCTGGGTTGGCGCCCCCCCTTGGTTTGTGCTGTGGTGGAGACCTCTGTGGGCTATACTCGGCCTTGTCTCAGGATTGTAAGTTGGTGGTTGAGGATATCCCTCTAGTGGTGCGGGGGCTGTGCTTTGGCAGAGTGGGTGGGGTTATATCCTTCCTGTTTGGCCCTGTCCGGGGGTTTCTTCGGATGGGGCCACAGTGTCTCCGGACCGCTCCTGTCTCAGCCTCCAGTATTTATGCTGCAGTAGTTTATGTGTCGGGGGGCTGGGGTTAGCTGGTTATACCTGGAGTACTTCTCCTGTCTTATCCAGTGTCCTGTGTGAATTTAAGTATGCTCTCTCTAATTCTCTCGTTCTCTCTTTCTCTCTGAGAACCTGAGCCCTAGGACCATACGTCAGGACTACCGGGCATGATGACACCTTGCTGTCCCCAGTCCGCCTGGCCTTGCTGCTATTCCAGTTTCAACTGTTCTGCCTGCGGTTACGAAACCCCTACCTGTCCCAGACCTGCTGTTTTCAACTCTTAATGATCGGCTATGAAAAGCCAACTGATAGACCTGAGCCCTAGGACCATACGTCGGGACTACCGGCCGTGGTGACTCCTTGCTGTCCCCAGTCCGCCTGGCCTTGCTGCTATTCCAGTTTCAACTGTTCTGCCTGCGGTTATGGAACCCCTACCTGTCCCAGACCTGCTGTTTTCAACTCTTAATGATCGGCTATGAAAAGCCAACTGAGATTTATTCCTGATTATTATTTGACCATGCTTGTCACTTATGAACATTTTTGAACATCTTGGCATGGTTCTGTTATAATCTTCACCCGGCACAGCCAGAAGAGGACTGGCCACCCCTCATAGCCTGGTTCCTCTCTAGGTTTCTTCCTAGGTTTTCGCCTTTCTAGGGAGTTTTTCCTAGCCACCGTGCTTCTACACCTGCATTACTAGCTGTTTGGGGTTTTAGGCTGGGTTTCTGTACAGCACTTCGAGATATTAGCTGATGTAAGAAGGGCTATATAAAATAAAATTGATTGATTGATTGGTCACTCTGAGGCTCTTTGTCTAGGATGAACTGAAAAACCTGTGGTCATTCTGCGGCTCTTTGTTTTAACCGTGTGACCAGGTTACTCTGAAGCAACGAGAAACAATACAGGTCTATACAGGTCTATCTGTTCCTGAAGTTTATCTCCACCCTATGTCCTTGACTACACACCCAGACCAGCTGCAGGGAGCTAGAGGGAACCATCCTTTCTCAGAAGCACAGCATTTGCACTAAAGAAATGTCTCTACTATTGTTAAATTGGTTCTTAATCCATGGGCATATAGGGCATATAGGCATTTCATTCTACAACATGCATAATTCATATAATTGGTTTGTTATGTTGTCTAAGTAGTTAACTAAACATTTCCAATAGAGGTTTCAAGCAAGGATTATGACACTGTTATAAAAGCTATACCTAGTGAGATAAAATCTTTACTACGGAATAAAGCATATTCTGGAACATCTCCTATTGTAAGCGATATCCAGGTGAATGTTATGGGTTTACTAGATAAGAAATTAAACAGGAATTCTATCCCTTCTGCTATATTTTGTTGGGCTTCATCGTTTGATGTGAACTGGCGCCGTGCTTGGCTCACTCCACACAAATGTATGGTGACCAATAAAGTAAAGGAGATCTCCTTTAAGATTATCCATAGATTCTACCCCTGTAATAGCTTGATTTCTAAATATATACCTGATGTTAGCAGCGAATGTACTTTTTGTGAACTAGAAACTGAATCTATTGAACACTTATTTTGTAATTGTTTACATAGTGAGGTGTTCTGGACTGATGTGAAACTATATCTTTGCAAGAAAATGCATACAACCATTTAAATATCTAAGTTTGACATATTATTTTACTACACTGATTCCACAATTGAACGTCAGTATGTCATAAATCTATTTTTTAAATGTTCATACACAAATCATGTTTTTTTTTTTTTACTGATTTGGAAAACTATTTAGAATCATTAAAAGGTATGCAAAACAAAATGTCTCAAAAATGTATTTGCTACATTTTGCTACTCTGTATTTTATTTGATATAATGTGGATTTTTTCTTCGTTAGTTCCTTGTGTTATCCCTCTGGCTGTTCTGTTTTTTTGTGTTTTGCATGTTACTGTTGTTTAGTCCACAGAGTTTCTAAACCCAGAGGTGCAACATCGCGAGACTTCCGGGAACGCTTGCGAAACAGACCAGGCCGGGGTTTGAGAAGTCAATAAGAGAAGTGAGAAATTCTTGCTTAGTTGGTAATTTTCTCGAAATCTAAAGGTACAACATAGATTCAAGCCAATGTCTTAAGTTATTGAACATGTTAGTACTCCAACCTCGTGAAAGTGACAAACTGACACGTTTTCATTTTCGTCCAAAACAACTTTATATCGAAAGAGTGCCTTTGATTTGACGGCTTGCACATGCGCAGTTCGGCGCGAGACGACCGTTAGACCCGATGATGTGTTTCTAAGCATTAGCCTTGCTAGCCAATGTCGTCATGTCATCGCCTACAAGTGTATTGGAGAAGCAGTTTTAGCCTATCTTCCTACTGTACTATCTTTGTCAAGGCCTTGTGATTTGCTGCAGTGAGCGTCCTCTCTACTCGCCTCATTCTCAAAACACATTGGAGAAGGTCAGAGGGGAGGGACCTGTGGCTTTCTCATCCAATGGGTTTTGAGAAGGAGAGGAGAGAGGACTCTAGGAGTATGCAAATTACCTTGGTTTCCACTAATGCGATTCAGCCTCTGCCCTTGTCAATATACAAAATGTCAGCCACCGTTGGGAGACTACTAAAGACCTCTGTAAGTTCATTTAGAAAGATTTGTATTTTACAAAGTTACCAGTAGTAGTGGGCTGCATTGAAATACAAATGGTATAATGGCAAATTATAATTGGCAATGCGAATTGTACGAAGAGAGGCAGAAAGTCTCAACTGAGCTTGACGGTAACGTCACTGTGACTTTATTCAGGACAAATCCCTCTGCCCAAATAAAGCCTTACCGCTAATGGCAAATTAAGTAAAAACTCTAAATATACAATCACTGATTATACTAACTGTCTAATGGTCATCAGCGCCAATAATAACGGTTGTTGTCACGAAGTGCAATTTCTCTTATCTCTAACGTTACCCCCTCCCCATCAAGGCAAAGGTTGCATCTGGAGTACTGAAAGTAGCAGCATCGCCACATGGAAATTCAGTGAGCAAGGCCTCAAGAATTCTGATCTCTCCTGTGCTGCAGAAAACCTGTTTCTCCACCAGTATGTATAGACCATGGACAGGGAATGTGATATGAAGTTGATCAAAGTGAGGGGTGGATGCAGAAATTATGCATATCCAATTGCATTCCCAAAACACATTCAGTAACTGCTGAAGTTTTATACAATTATATTAAAGTCATGCAATAAAGTAAATGTTATAACGTTTTTGTCCTTCACCTAAATACAGACTCCACTTAATTCATTTAATATCTTTCTCCCAATAGGTACAGCTGGATGGGCTCCAGCTGTCACTCAACATGCACCACATTTTAAAGCTACAGCTGTCCACAATGGCGAGTTCAAGGAGATGAGCCTAGATGACTTTAAGGGCAAATACCTGGTCCTTTTCTTCTACCCTCTTGATTTGTGAGTACCACTATTCCCTTGGAAAGACAAGCATGGATTGCTGTGTTTAGCTGCATGTGGTGTACAGTACACCATCCTTGACTTTATTCATCTTTAGAATTATTTAGCGGCCTATGGTCTTTGCACTACAGATTGTGGATGTGACATTTTATTCCGAAACCTTTTTTTCTTTCTCCTTACAGCACGTTTGTTTGTCCGACAGAGATCATCTCATTCAGTGACAAGGCCAGCGAGTTCCATGACATCAACTGTGAAGTGGTGGGCGTGTCGGTGGATTCTCACTTCACCCACCTGGCATGGATAAACACCCCTCGCAAGGTACAGTGGGTGTACATAGAGTAGTATTCCATAGACATAAAGAAATCATTCCATATACATACAGACAGTATTCCATGGACATAGACATTATTAAGCCTGGCGGGTAGGAGCGTTGGGCCAGTAACCGAAAGGTTGCTGAATCGAATCCCCGATCTGACAAGGTAAAGATCTGTCATTCTGCCCGAGCAAGGCAGTTAACCGACTGTTCCCCGAGCGCCAAAGACTTGGATGTTGATTAAGGCAGCCCTCCGCACCACTCTGATTCAGAGGGGTTGGGTCAAATGCGGAAGACACATTTCAGTTGAATGCATTCAGTTGTACAACTGACTAGGTATCCCCCTTTCCCTTTATTACATAGACACACAGTGCTAATAAATTGTCATGGCATCTTGTTCTCAGGCTGGAGGTTTGGGTGACATCCACATCCCCCTGCTGGCAGACCTCAACAAACAGGTGTCCAGAGACTATGGCGTACTTCTGGAGGGTCCTGGCATTGCACTGAGGTACTGTGCATTCCAAATGGCACCCTATTCCCAATATAGTGTATTTCTACCATGATATTGAGTAGTTGTCCATTGTCTGTTTGTCCATTAGGGGACTGTTTATCATTGATCCGAATGGTGTGGTGAAGCACATGAGCGTCAACGACCTGCCAGTAGGCCGCTGTGTGGACGAGACCCTGCGTCTGGTGAGGGCCTTCCAGTTTGTGGAGACTCACGGTGAAGTGTGCCCTGCTAGCTGGACCCCTGACTCTCCTACGGTGAGGCCACTCCCCTTCACTACCCTGCCAGGGCCTCGGACAACTGAAATGAATACAAGCACCAAAATATGAGTAGCAAGGACTTTGTCTTGGTGGTCTCCCATCAGTTCATTGTTTTTGGATGATCAGTTTGCTTACTACATGTTTTTGTTTTTCAGATCAAGCCAACTCCAGAAGGTTCAAAGGAGTACTTTGAGAAAGTCAACGACTAGAGGACACACTTCATAGCTTTAATAAATCAATTAAAATATCCTGAACTGAAAAAGAAAACTGTATAGATATACCAAATACTTTCCATTATAGTTTAGTTTTAAAAGGTGAATTTGTTTTAAAGTAGACAGAAATAAAGATTTGAAGTGGTCGGTTGTCTGAGTTGAAACATTTCATCCTGTTTGCTAGCTTCTATTTCCTACAAGCAATTCACTATCATCATATTGCAAGTATTGAGAGAGCCTACATGTTCGTTTAAAATAATGAAATGGTTCTAACATGGCAAAGAGCATGTAAATATTGTCAAGAGTTTCAGGGGTCTGTTGACAGTATCAAAATAAGCAAATGTTGGACAAACTCCCATCATACACTTTTCAATCAATAGAATAAAACTGATCATACAAAAATATTGTATTTTCCCCAAACAGTGTTAACAGAATGTTGCTACCATGTCTTGGCTAGTTGAAAAAATAAAGGAATCAGTTACCAGCTTTAAAAGCCAGACAACTTAACCTTCATTTACAAACCATGCCTATATAAGCCCTGTACATAAAGATTTCTTTTTTTACAGCAAGTTAATATGCAGGGTTAAAATGTCTTAAGACATATGGTACACATCAGGTGCCAGAAATCAACTTCAATGGATGTAGAATTTGAAATTAGAAAAAGGCAATGCCACTCACACATTTAAGGTACATAATGTATTTACATGGGGGAAAAGCATTTTAAATACTCTGCAGTAGTGTATGTAGCTAAGTGTATTTCACTTTGTACAGTACGTTTGTGGAAACTCGGCACAATCGCCTCATTTCATGACATTCACAATGTTTCAGGTTATGAAAACCAAAGATAGCGTGAGGGACATGGCTGACCAAAGAACGGCGCACTTTAAAGCTTTAAAAAATACATAAAAACAAAGTGTCAGTTTTGTCAATGTCATCCCTTTCTGCAAGCAGCCAGCACAAAGTCAATGACACACTTTTTTTTTATTGCTACATGACATGTCCACAACCAGGGAAAGTGAAAGATAAACTGCCAAACAAAGCGGAATTTGATGAGCACATGGTTTGATGGAAACTTCATGCAATTTCAGGCAAGATGTAACAGCGCCACCCCAAGCACCAAAAGAGACAAAAACTAAAAATATATATTTTTGTTTATAACTGAATGATTCGTAAAAAAAAAAAAAAAATGTAGTAAATCTGTACAACCAAAATACATTTGGGATCTACATCTAAAGTTACATTATTAAGGTTATATACACTTTTCCCCCTATCCATATATTATCTTTACAAGTAGTCTTCATTCAAACCCAACCATTAAGAAAACATAAGACTAAAACGGGAAATTGGATCACATCAAACATCCATTTATAATGTAACTCAAAACCAACTGTTGATAACACCTTCCTTTCCTGAATGTTTTTTTCCCCATATGTACAGCAAACAAATATTTATCTTGGGTGGCTGGTTTTAAACTACTGCATTTGGAAATTTGAGAATTGTCCAAATATGGGAATGGTTCCAACTCTGATAAGTTAGTATAACATCCAGTTATTGTATTGAATGTAAAATGTACTACTTGTCTAGTGTAGCTGGTAAAAATTAATGTGGAAGCCAGAATAAAATATAACGTCATTGGGAGTGACTCAGTAATACAAAATAGAATCAGACCAGAGCATGGACGCAAAACCCAACTCTTCAATATTCTAATACAATAGAACAAAGGCTTTCGATATGGCCTCTTCACTGAAGAGAGCTAGACTATTCCATCAATAAAGATCATCATCTTCTCTGGTGGCGGCTGGGACTGGATTGGAAAGGGGAAGCCATGTTACATTTTGAATAACATATGCTTCAGAACATTGGTTGAAAGCAATTGATAAAAACAGAACCGATGTTAACGTTTTCTTTTTCCGCAGTTTTTGCTCTAGTACACTTTGTTTTGCAAAATTGAAAAATTATTCAGAAAATGGAAAACTACATTTGTACAAATTGAGATACCACAATCTCTTTTTGCAAAAAAACAACTTGTGCCCGCTTCTGTTGGGGAGAGCTTCAGCTGATCCTTGGATCCCTTGTTGCTGCTTGCATCTGTCCTAGTCAATTTTCACATTTGTGTAGATCTTCCTCACGAAGGCACTTGTTCCCACATACCCAACGGCTCCTACAAAAGAAAGATACATTGCAAGATTGTCATTGCATCAATAACCATGCATGCTTTGCACTCTGAGCTACATTGCGTTTACAGAATAACCTCATAAGAGTCACAATACTTGGATCAAATCAGATGATGTGAATAGAGAAGTTGAACCTACCACACATGATTCCCAGAGAAGTACTGAACACTGCCATGTAGCCAAAGTAAAAGGACGTCTGGAACAGACCATACATCCTGAAACGAAGTGGGACAAAACAACTGTCAGCGGCAGTGGTGGAAAAAGTACTCAATTATCATACTTGAGTAAAAGTAAAGATACCTTAATAGAAAATGTAAAAGTCACCCAGTAAAATACTACTTAAGTAAAAGTCTAAAAGTATTTGGTTTTAAATATACTTAAGTATCAAAAGTAAATGGAATTGCTAAAATGTTCTTAAGTATCAAAAGTATAAACCCCTTGCAAACCAGACGGCACAATTTTATATTATTTATTGGCGGATAGCCAGAGGCACACTCCAACACTCAGACATAATTTACAAACGAAACATGTGTTTAGTGAGTCCGCCAGATCAGAGGCAGTAGGGATGTTCTCTTGATAAGTGTGAGTATTGGGCCATTTTCCTGTCAAAATGTAACGAGTACTTTTGGGTGTCAGGGAAAATGTATGGAGTAAAAAGTATATTATTTTCTTTAGGAATGTACTGAAGTAAAAGTTGGCAAAAATATAAATAGTAAAGTACAGATACCCCAAAAAACTACTTAAGTAGTACTTTAAAGTATTTTTACACCACTGGTCAGTGGAAGTAATACACAGGAAGACACTAGTGTGTCACGATACCATAATTTTGTCTTTGATACCAGGTTTAGTATCACAATACTCAATACCAAAACAATACCACAAAAAAATATGTATTAGTCAAAGTCACAGAATGCCACTTGTTCCAGACTGAAACGGAGCTACTGCGCTGTTATCTATCGTTGGGCATCTTTGAGTTCAATATCATTACATATGAAAAATGTCCATTTTTGACAGCCACGTATTCACCAATTGAATCAATGACTTTGTTTTTACCAATCTAACTACAAAATATAATGGTCATAATTTATTAGAATGGTAATCTCTTGATAAACTGGGTAAATCAAGATGTAGCCTAGGTCTATTCACAATATATGCGAAAGCATATTATTCAATAGGAGTATATGCATTGAGTTAAGCTTGTTTTAGCTGATTTCATGGGGCTATAGATGACAAAGAACATCTTCCATTTTAGCGACTCATTTTTATTAGCAACTGCTAGGAGAACATATCCTTTTATTGTACTGATCAACAACATTTGCATAGAACAAGCAATCTCTTTTCAAAATGTGTATGCCGTCTAAAATGAATGGCGTTATTCGTGAGGCAGATTGTGGCTGTAGAACCTGACTGTGGCTATGGAATTTAGTGGAAACTAGACGGGAGACAAAGGAAGACGAACAAGTTAATTAGTTTTTGGTGGCGAGGGAGATTAAGTGAATTAATAGTATGGTTACAGTCAGCTTTGAAATCAGCATATTAAGCATTCTGGTTTGCACAAACAAGGGTAGTGAATTCAGCTGTACGCTAGCAAGGAAAGTTAGCCTACAATTAAAGCTGGACACTATCGGTTTTGTCTTGCATTGTAAAAGTGCTCTAGCCTGTGTGGACATTGTTTTGCGAACAGTAACGAACAGTTTCAACATTTCTACATGCCATGTTGCATTATTCAATTGTGTAAACTTCTGTACTGAAGTGTCGGTATACCGTGAAGAGAAAAGTTTGCAATTTTTAATATGATATAAGTGAAAGTTACTAACAAAATCAATGGGGGTCCCCCCAGTCCATGCAAACTGGTGAGGGCCCCAAAAAGGGGCATTTTTAATACTTGTATTCGTTTTTAGTAAACGAATACAAACCTTCCCTTATTTATGACAGAATGCATTGGGGTTATAGTCATTTTACGGTCAACAGATTATTTTCTTCAGTTGTGTACAATGTGTGTTTTATATAAGAAAATTGATATTGGAACTCACTTTGTTTTGAAGAAATAGTAGTAAAAGGAGTACATGTAAACATAAACCGCAGTGGATGCAGCAGAGAGAAAGCTTGTCCATTGCCTGAGAGGAAATAAAAACTGTGTTAGCTGTGTTATAGTCCTAAAGCCATGTTTAATAGCCATTAAATTGTTGGGAACATATTTGGTGTGCGACTTTCTTTTTATACAGTTTACAATCCCGTTAGTCAGCACCTCCATTCAAATGTTTGGGTGTGCATCAGCTCATGCTTTATTATAGTTCTAAAAGCTAGCCATGTAATTATATACACTGCTCAAAAAAATAAAGGGAACACTAAAATAACATCCTAGATCTGAATGAATGAAATAATCTTATTAAATACTTTTTTCTTCTTTACATAGTTGAATGTGCTGACAACAAAATCACACAATAATTATAAATGGAAATCGAATTTATCAACCCATGGAGGTCTGGATTTGGAGTCACCCTCAAAATTAAAGTGGAAAACCACACTACAGGCTGATCCAACTTTGATGTAATGTCCTTAAAACAAGTCAAAATGAGGCTCAGTAGTGTGTGTGGCCTCCACGTGCCTGTATGACCTCCCTACAACGCCTGGGCATGCTCCTGATGAGGTGGCGGATGGTCTCCTGAGGGATCTCCTCCCAGACCTGGACTAGAGCATCCGCCAACTCCTGGACAGTCTGTGGTGCAACGTGGCGTTGGTGGATGGAGCGAGACATGATGTCCCAGATGTGCTCAATTGGATTCAGGTCTGGGGAACGGGCGGGCCAGTCCATAGCATCAATGCCTTCCTCTTGCAGGAACTGCTGACACACTCCAGCCACATGAGGTCTAGCATTGTCTTGCATTAGGAGGAACCCAGGGCCAACCGCACCAGCATATGGTCTCACAAGGGGTCTGAGGATCTCATCTCGGTACCTAATGGCAGTCAGGCTACCTCTGGCGAGCACATGGAGGGCTGTGCGGCCCCCCAAAGAAAAGCCACCCCACACCATGACTGACCCACCGCCAAACCGGTCATGCTGGAGGATGTTGCAGGCAGCAGAACGTTCTCCACGGCGTCTCCAGACTCTGTCACGTGCTCAGTGTGAACCTGCTTTCATCTGTGAAGAGCACAGGGCGCCAGTGGCGAATTTGCCAATCTTGGTGTTCTCTGGCAAATGCCAAACGTCCTGCACGGTGTTGGGCTGTAAGCACAACCCCCACCTGTGGACGTCAGGCCCTCATACCACCCTCATGGAGTCTGTTTCTGACCGTTTGAGCAGACATGCACATTTGTGGCCTGCTGGAGGTCATTTTGCAGGGCTCTGGCAATGCTCCTCCTGCTCCTCCTTGCACAAAGGCGGAGGTAGCAGTCCTGCTGCTGGGTTGTTGCCCTCCTACGGCCTCCTCCACGTCTCCTGAGGTACTGGCCTGTCTCCAGGTAGCGCCTCCATGCTCTGGACACTACGCTGACAGACATAGCAAACCTTCTTGCCACAGCTCGCATTGATGTGCCATCCTGGATGAGCTGCACTACCTGAGCCACTTGTGTGGGTTGTAGACTCCGTCTCATGCTACCACTAGAGTGAAAGCACCGCCAGCATTCAAAAGTGACCAAAACATCAGCCAGGAAGCATAGGAACTGAGAAGTGGTCTGTGGTCACCATCTGCAAAACCAGTCCTTTATTGGGGGTGTCTTGCTAATTGCCTATAATTTCCACCTGTTGTCTATTCCATTTGCACAACAGCATGTGACATTTATTGTCAATCAGTGTTGCTTCCTAAGTGGACAGTTTGATTTCACAGAAGTGTGATTGACTTGGAGTTACATTGTGTCGGGCTCCTGAGTGGCGCAGTGGTCTAAGGCACTGCATCGCAGTGCTAACTGTGCCACTAGAGATCCTGGTTCGAATCCAGGCTCTGTTGCAGCCGGCCGCGACCGGGAGACTCATGGGCGGCGCACAATTGGTCCAGGGTAGGGGAGGGAATGGCCGGCAGGGATGTAGCTCAGTTGATAGAGCATGGCGTTTGCAACGCCAGGGTTGTGGGTTCGATTCCCACGGGGGGCCAGTATAAAAAAAAAATGCTCTGGATATGAGCGTCTGCTAAATGACTAAAAATGTAATGTTTAAGTGTTCCCTTTATTTTTTTGAGCAGTGTACTTACTTAGGCCTAATCACACAAAGTGGTGGGTGTATAAGGCCTCCACAAGGTCCCTCCCATTTAATTAATTAATCAATTTAATGAATCATGTAAATCGTAGTGACAAGTAAATACATTGCTGGCTGTCTTTTACTCACCATCTGTAGTCCTCAGCATTGAGGAGGAAGTAAGTGCAGACAATGGTGACACACACAGTGACAATGCAGAGGATAACCAGGACCAGCATCATGAACCCGTACACGTAGTAGATCTTGTAGGCCCAAAACGAAGTGAAAATGAAGTACCTGTAAAATAAGAAGCAAACAATGACTCTGCAACGGTACCCCCCTGTATATATAGCCTCCCCACTGTCACTTTATTTTACTGTATATATAGCCTCCCTACTGTCACTTTATTTTTACTTCTGCTCTTTTTTTTCTCAACACTTTTTGTTGTTGTTGTTTTATTCTTACTTTTTTTGTTTAAAATAAATGCACTGTTGGTTAAGGGCTGTAAGTAAGCATTTCACTGTAATGTCTGCACCTGTTGTATTCGGCGCATGTGACCAATACAATTTGAGTTGATTTGATTTGACAATGCATTTCCACTTCCAGCCATGCACAGGTATTACTTGGTGAATTATCAACCTGCTAAACGCAGATATACAGTGCATTCGGAAAGTATTCAGACCCCTCGACTTTTTCCACATTTTGTTACGTTACAGCCTTATTCTAAAATTGATTAAATCGTTTTTTTCCCCCTCATCAATCTGCAATACCCCATAATGACAAAGCAAAAACAGGTTAAGAAATTTAGGCAAATGTAAAAAATAAATAATAATAAATCTCTCATTTACGTAAGTATTCAGACCCTTTACTCCGTACTTTGTTGAAGCACCTTTGGCAGCGATTACAGCCTCAAATCTTCTTGGGTATGACGCCACAAGCTTGGAACACCTGTATTTGGGGAGTTTCTCCCATTCTTCTCTACAGATCCTCTCAAGCTCTGTCAGGTTGGATTGGGAGCGTCGCTGCACAGCTATTTTCAGGTCTCTCCAGAGAAGTTCAAGGCCAGCCACTCAAGGACATTCAGAGACTTGTCCCGAAGCCATTCCTGGGTTGTCCTGTTGAAAGGGGAACCTTCGCCCGCCCGCTTCACCAAGGCCCTTCTCCCCCGATTGCTCAGTTTGGCCGGGCACAGCTCTAGGAAGAGTCTTGGTGGTTCCAAACATCTTCCATTTAAGAATGATGGAGGCTATTGTGTTCTTGTGGACCTTCAATGCTGCGGAAATGTTTTGATTCCCTTCCCCAGGTCTGTGCCTCGACACAATCCTGTCTCGGAGCTCTACGGACAATTCCTTCGACCCCATGGCTTGGTTTTTGCTCTGACATGCACTGTCAACTGTGGGACCTTATATAGACAGGTGTGTGCCTTTCCAAATCATGTCCAATCAATTGATTTTACCACAATACTCCAAATCAAGTTGTAGAAAAAGCTCAAGGATGATCAATGGAAACAGGATGCAACTGAGCTCAATTTCGAGTCTCAAAGCAAAGGGTCTGAATACTTATGTAAATAAGGCATTTGTTTTTTATTTTTAATACATTTTCAAAAATGTCTAAAAACCTGTTTTTGCTTTGTCATTATAGGGTAGTGTGTGTAGATTGATGAGGAATTTTATTTATTCAATTTTAGAATAAGGCTGGAATGTACCAAAATGGGGGAAAAGTCAAGGGGTCTGAATACTTTCTGAATGCACTTTATCTAGATCAGTGGTCACCAACCTTTTGAGTCAAGATTACTTTGAGTCAAAATGCAGGCAGAGATCTACCCCTCAGATTTTATTTTCTTCAAACATGACTTAAAAAAAACATAAGCCTATGCAACAGTAACCAATTAAAAACAGTTCTGTAGCAATGAGGTTTGAGCAGTAGTCCATAGGCCCAATACATTATCACTGCATATTGGCTATGCTTGAATTGCCCTGCCAATGTTGTTCTTCTCAGACCATTTTGAAATTATATTTCAAAACTATAGGTATATGATCACACTGGATGTATTGCTTTGTGAGGCACAGGTGAATGAGCATAATACATTTGCTTTTTTTGTTTTACTGGACTGATGGCCTGCATCTTCAGCTCTGATCAGACCCTACACTCAAACGAGGGCACTACGTTCATCCACCTCTGGCCTGCTAGCCCCCCTACCTCTACGGAAGCACAGTTCCCGCTCAGCCCAGTCAAAGCTATTCGCTGCTCTGGCACCCCAATGGTGGAACAAGCTCCCCCACGACGCCAGGACAGCGGAGTCACTGACCACCTTCCGGAGACACTTGAAACCCTACCTCTTTAAGGAATACCTGGAATAGTATAAAGTAATCCTTCTACCCCCACCCCCCATAAAAAAAAGAAAAATGTGGTTGTTCCACTTGCTATCCTAAGTTGAATGCACCAATTTGTAAGTCGCTCTGGATAAGAGCATCTGCTAAATGACTTAAATGTAAATGTATATCTGATGGTCAGTCTGTGGGGAGGGAGGGAGCAGCTGTGAGGCTGCCTCTCACCGTCCCTCCTCTCTCCCTCCCTCAAGAAGGGTGCAATTGCGGACAGCTATTCGGGGCATTCCTGCATCTGCAGGAACCCCTCTATTCTTCTATTGGTCAATTTTTTAGTTAGGACAGGCGGGAGAGCTCCAGTAAAGTAGATGGCGTTAATGCACAATAATGTTGGAAGCCAGCCGCCAATAAGCCCCACAGAAGGGGCGACAACGGTAGCTTGCTAGGCACACACCGGTAGACAGTGTCCTTCGTCCCCGCCTGTCGGGCACAGTTTTCCCGCATTTCTGTTAACGATGGTTAGGGCATGTGTTCGGCAGGCGGGAGCAAAATAAACTGTGTGCCAGCTTAGCCAGCTAGAACTAAGGAGGACTCTGGTACAGAGCAGGCGGGAGTGACAACGTGTGCTAGCACACGGTGTCGCTAACTAGCAAGCTAGCACACGGTGTCGCCCTAGCCTCCAGTCTGCTGTGCTAGCGGGAGGCGGGGACGACCGGTAGACAGTGTCCTTCGCCCTTGCCTGTTGGGCACGGTTTTATCCGGTACACCTCAGGCGGGAGCGACACAGTGTGCTAGCTAACTAGCAAGCTAGCACACAGTGTCGTTAGCTTGCACAGTGTCATCGCCGTCCCAGCCTCCCGCCTGCTGTGCTAGCGGGAGCGACCGGCAGATAGTGTCCCCCGCCTGTCCGGCACGATTTTCCCGCAGTTCTGTTAACAACGATGAGGGCAGGCGGGAGTGAAGGCGCGAGCGAAGGACACTGTCTATCGGTGTTACAAAAAAATTATATCGTCCTGGAACCATGAACATAAAAAAAAAGCTAATCTCCAATGTAAAGGCCAAAAAGGTAGGCTACCATTATGTCAGATCGTGACATGCGCATTCAAATAAATGTTTACCTGGCCAAATTATTTATATAAATGCTCTCCTCACTATTAATTTTTTCTGCAGTGAGGATTCAATAATTTAGATAATTCTTTTGAAAATTTTCACCAAAAAGATCAGTTCAAAAAGAGCCGTTCGTTCGTGAACAACCCTTCACTAGTGAGTGGAAGTAGGGAGAATGCGCATTTTATGGCTTATAAAAAAATAAAGTGTTGAACAAGGTGTTGACAGTGATGAATAACAACTTAAACATGAACTTACTCAAAAACAGCAGCCCTTTGCTGTATTCGTTGAGTTTTTCTCTAGTCATGGTTTCAAAAGTCTTTACATTTGACATCAACTTTGCTGTGAGTTTGGTCTATGGCGCAAGGAAACTGTGCAGACACGGTGATCTGAGGTATCTGATTGGCCAGTGTTAGGCCTGTAAGTGCACTTGATTTGCTCTCTGGGCCTGCCGGGTAGGCGGAGTTCCACCTAGGACAGTGGCAGTCAGGAAATTTCGTCAGCTGGTTATTGTCAGGCAAATAGCTGCAGGTGTCAAGGTAATTGACCTTTAATTAACATAAACTGACTAAATGGTCACATGGAATTGGAGACCGCCGGTGTGGGGGTAATACAGTCACCGTAACAGCCCTAGTTCCACTTTCAGGACACATGAAAAGGTTCAAAAATGGCAACACTTCCTTCCCGTTGCTAGGGCTGCTGAATCAAGTGTACCTACCGCCAACAGCATGAAAAACATATTTTAAAAATTGGAACTCATGGCTTTATCGTTGGGTTTTTCATAGAAATGTTTGGTGATCGACTAGGATTGCCTTGGAGATCGACCGGTTGGTGACAACTGATCTAGATTATAGTGTAGTGAGGTAGGACTTACATTTCTATGAAAATGGAACCGAATGGAAGGATGCCTCCCAGACAGACAATGACAGCTGGCTCCATGAACCTGTAAAATTGGAAATTTACAATCAACTCACAATACTGACAGCGTCACCAATAGTTTATCAATCAATCGGAGCTATGCAACTCCAGGCCTCCCGTGCCGCAGCACTGTTATCATTCCTCTGTTCATCCAGGACTGGTTTCAACCTGGGAAAGTAGGTGTGTGGACTCTTTGGCCAATCAGACCTTTATTGAACTATCAACTCTCAACGACAAAATAAACTTAACAGCGCCTCTCGAGGAGCAAACATAGTCCATTTCAGCACTTGGATCTTAATAAACAAAATCCAATAAATGTAAAAACAAATGTCACATGTAGATTTGAGTAAGTAATGCTGTACAAATAAGATCATATTCATAGATACCATTTCTTCTCAGGGATTGGCCGCGGCACTGCATTGACTCGACAGGGAAAGTTGGGCTGGCCAGAGAGGTTTCTTCCCAGAATGGTCCCCACAAGGTTGAGTGGCAGGATAACAAACAAACAAATACAGCAAACAGCCACCTGAAAACATGCAATAGTAGAATCCATGAGAAAGATTTCATAGTGAGAGCAGGTTCTTAAGCACAACGGAGTGCCTGGATACAGCCCTTAGCCGTGGTATATTGGCCATATACCACAAACCCCCGAGGTGCCTTATTGCTATTATAAATTGGTTACCAATTACCAGAATTTTCTAGCTAGAATTTCTGCCCACCCCACCCCACATCTAATGATACAACCTTTATAAAAATAGTTTTTTTTATCAACAAATAACCAATTCATTACATGTTCATCTCTCGTTTCAAAATGAAAAGAAACCAATAAATACATTTACTCAATAAAATTGTATTTTTCTAATTATCTTTCTCAAAAACATTTGCATATTGTCCCATACAATACAATAATCTGTTCTGTTTAATATTTTGAATACCACTGCTTTGAATACCACTGCTCTAAACTCACCATGGTGCCAAAAGGGATGGCCCGGGAGGCATGGTAGTACATGGCGATGAAGTTGATGAAGAAGGCTGTCCCACACACCATGGCAGGGATCAGGAAGGCCCCGATAAACATCTGTTTAATCCATCGTCTGCCTATAGGATAAAATATAAAATCGGTTACCATAAGGGTGCACATTATGAGTGAATGACAATCTACCATACCATGTGAACGAGAGCGACCCGGCTCTATGTATTTTACTGGTTTGTGACTCACTGAAACCGCCCCTGGTTAGAGGGGAATAAAGCAGCCCAAGAGTTAACACACACACACACAGGAACTTTAAATCACACACAGGATAAGTTAAACATGGGTATGTACATGGGTATGGTTTTTGTAGTCACGCATCCCATGCACATATGTCCACCCACACTCACAGACTGGAATAATACCATTCAGGTACTGGCAATATTTACTCCCTTGGAGAGTGTGGGTCAGGCTGGCTAGCCAATCAGGGCCTGTAGAGACTGCATGGCTAGAGCTTGCACAGTGGTGAGACACATGGCTATTGTCCGATTGGCTGAAGCCATGAGCTGGATGAGATATCGATCTCTCATGGGAGGGGGAGAAAGGGTAAGGATGGGTGAGAGTCAGACCGCACAGCTCCAGAAAGCAAATGCTCACGCTATACATTTGTCCCACAGCGCCCTCGGCAGGGGGATTCTGTAACACCATGTGCTATTTACACAATGACACCAACAATGTAGCCACATTTCTGTCAATATCCATGTCAATAGGCTTCAACCACAACATTCTACACCAAGTACCACAAACAATGTTTTGACAACCCAGGCTCCATGTTCAGAAAATGTCATGGTGACAATATTCTGTCTGCAAAACTGCCCTTGCAGAGTGCAGTAATAATTTAGGTGTGATGTGAAGGAATGTACTTTATTTTTAAGACAAACCCTTACATACCTCCTTGTTTTGCATACAAACTTCCGCCGAAATAGCCATTGACAGGAGAGGTGGCAGCATACACAAAGATGGCTGTGCTCAGCATGGATCCTCTCCTGCAGAAACAAATGGGAAGCCGCAGTGTGCGTGCACACACACAAACACACACACACACAAACCACGTTAGACAGCAGCGAAGAAACACACTCCATTAGGTTATCATCTGCGGGGAGGTGCTCATCACTCACTCGGTGTACAGATCCTCAATCATGGCCACGACAATGACGATGAAGGAGACAGAGAAGATCTGGCATCCAGAGCCAATTAGGGAGGAGAAGATCATGGGGTGGCTGGACGGCCGGAACACGTCTCCATGGACCTGCTTCCACCCATACTCATCCCCCAGGTCCCTGTCCTGCAGCAGGAAGAGGCAGCAAAGGACCAGGGGTACATTAAGACAAAGGACATACAGCTAGACAAAATCATACGAAGCACTGGCGCCTAAACTAATAAAGCTAAATATTAAGTAAGTGCATGATGTTCAATGTGAGTTTCTATCACTAATGCTACCAAGGCTATGAAACGTTACCATGTCATCCATTTCCTCCTCTTTGCTGTATCTAGCATAGTCCTTCCTTAGCGTTCTCATCAGGATCATGGACACCAGGCCCACCAAGAAGATAACCATCATGAAGGAATTGAAGATGGAAAACCAGTGAATCTAGAGAAAAACGTTTTCATTACCACGGAGAATATCGGAAATGCACACATAGAACCCATCCCTAGATTCCAGAACATGACATCCTTGAATCCCAGAATTGTTAAAGCTGCAATATGAAACTTTTTGAGTGACCTGACAAAATGCACATAGAAATGTGAGTTATAGATCTGTCAGTCTCATTGAAAGCAAGTCTAAGAAGCGGTAGATCTGTTCTGTGTGTGTGCTAATTCTATGCTTCCCGTTTGTACGTTTCGTTATTGCATCTTTTACTGTTGGTTTTGTACACCAGCTGAAAACACAATATTTTTGGATATGAAAAATATACTTCATAGCGGTTTAGATGGTACAATGATTCTCTACGCTATACTTGCTTGTTTGGGTCACAAACTGAAATTAGGCAAACTATTAGAATTTTAGCAACCAGGAAATGGCGGAGCAATTTCTACATACTGCATCTTTAAAACAGGCTGATCACTGTGAGTACTGTGCAGTTTAGTGAAAAATTGCATTGCTTATCTTAAAAGATTAAACTTACTCTGTGTTGGAAAAAAGATGGATCGAGATACTTGTCAAATCGGTCTTCAAACTTCACATCTGACTTCTTCCACTTTACCTGTGGTAAAAAAGACATTTCAACATTGTTCCTTTGGCAAGTGAGCCACGTATGGATGATGACGTAGGTTACTTTACTTTATATAAAAACAATATAAATCTCTGTGTAGTAAATTTAAACATCACATCTCCAAAATACATATTCAACCCTGTGTATATTAGAAAAATCCAGTCCCATTTCCCGCCTCTAAAAAGCAATTGCAAATACTTACAGAGTACGACATTGCAATTCTTGTGTTGGGCACAAGCTTGACTTTGCCTTCACTCGTCAGGTTGACATCAACAATTCGGTTGCCATTGAAGCCGATCTCCAATTTCTTGTAAGTCCACAGATAATGATCCTCTCCATTTTCATCTGCCTCGCCGACAATTCCTAGAATATTGAGAGATTAGTGTAATGAGTGCACTGCTACCAGAAATTTACTGGCAACTTGGCAAGTCTGATGTGGAATGCAGTAACCAAATCCAGGGCCAAGGTCTATCTTTATTCATACTCAACAGAATATGGAACTATTCTGTGGTTATAAAGGCTTGGGCAAGGCCATCTGCCCCACCTCCTGTGCACACATACACACTGAGTACACCAAACATTAGGAACACCTGCATGCTCTTGGCATTCTCTCAACCAGCTTCATGAGGTAGTCACCTGGAACGCATTTCAATTAACAGGTGTGCCTTCTTAAAGGTTAATTTGTGGAATTTCTTTCCTTCTTAATGCGTTTGAGCCAATCAGTTTTTATTTTTATTTCACCTTTATTTAACCAGGTAAGCCAGTTGAGAACAAGTTCTCATTTACAACTGCGACCTGGCCAAGATAAAGCAAAGCAGTGCGATAAAAACAACAACACAGAGTTACACATGGGATAAAACAAAACATACAGTCAATAACACAATAGAACATCTATATACAGTGTGTGCAAATGTAGTAAGTTATGGAGGTAAGGCAATAAATAGGCCATAGTGCAAAATAATTACAATTTAGTATTAACACTGGAATGATAGATGTGCAGAAGATGATGTGCAAATAGAGATACTGGGGTGCAAATGAGCAAAAATAAATAACAATATGGGGATGAGGTAGTTGGGTGGGCTAATTACAGATGGGCTGTGTACAGGTGCAGTGATCGGTAAGCTGCTCTGACAACTGATGCTTAAAGTTAGTGAGGGAGATAAGAGTCTCCAGCTTCAGAGATTTTTGCAATTCGTTCCAGTCATTAGCAGCAGAGAACTGGAAGGAATGGCGGCCAAAGGTGGTGTTGGCTTTGGGGATGACCAGTGAAATATACCTGCTGGAGTGCATACTATGGGTGGGTGTTGCTATGGTGACCAATGAGCTAAGATAAGGCGGGTATTTGCCTAGCAGTGATTTATAGATGACCTGGAGCCAGTGGGTTTGGCAACGAATATGTAGTGAGGGCCAGCCAACGAGAGCGTACAGGTCACAATGGTGGGTAGTATATGGGGCTTTGGTGACAAAACAGATGGCACTGTGATAGACTACATCCAATTTGCTGAGTAGAGTGTTGGAGGCTATTTTGTAAATGACATCGCCGAAGTCAAGGATCGGTAGGATAGTCAGTTTTCCGAGGGCATGTTTGGCAGCATGAGTGAAGGAGGCTTTGTTTGCGAAATAGGAAGCCGATTCTAGATTTAACTTCGGATTGGAGATGCTTAATGTGAGTCTGGAAGGAGAGTTTACGGTCTAACCAGACACCTAGGTATTTGTAGTTGTCCACATATTCTAAGTCAGACCCGCCGAGAGTAGTGATTCTAGTCGGGCAGGCGGGTGGCAAGCAGCGTTCGATTGAAGAGCATGCATTTAGTTTTACTAGTGTTTAAGAGCAGTTGGAGGCTACGGAAGGAGTGTTGTATGGCATTGAAGCTCATTTGGAGGTTTGTTAACACAGTGTCCAATGAAGGGCCAGATGTATACAAAATGGTGTCGTCTGCATAGAGGTGGATCTGAGAGTCACCAGCAGCAAGAGCGATATCATTGATATACACAGAGAAAAGAGTCGGCCCAAGAATTTGGGGGGGGGGGGGGGGCATGGGTAAGTTGCAGCGGAGGGTGCAGAGCTGGTGGCCGGGGTAGGGGTAGCCAGGTGGAAAGCATGGTCAGCCGTAGCAAAATGCTTATTGAAATTCTCGATTATCGTAGATTTATCGGTGGTGACAGTGTTTCCTAGCCTCAGTGCAGTGGGTAGCTGGGAGGAGGTGCTCTTATTCTCCATGGACTTTACAGTGTCCCAAAACATTTTGGAGTTAGTGCTACACAATGCAAATTTCTGTTTGAAAAAGCTAGCCTTTGCTTTCCTAACTGATTGTGTATATTGGTTCCTGACTTCCCTGAAAAGTTGCATATCGCGGGGGCTGTTCGATGCTAATGCAGTACGCCACAGAATGTTTTTGTGCTGGTCAAGGGCAGTCAAGTCTGGGTTGAACCAGGGGCTATATCTGTTCTTAGTTCGGAATTTTTTGAATGGGGCATGCTTATTTAAGATGGAGAGGAAAGCACTTTTAAAGAACAACCAGGCATCCTCTACTGACGGAATGAGGTCAATATCCATTCAGGATACCCGGGCCAGGTCAATTAGAAAGGCCTGCTCGCTGAAGTGTTTTAGGGAGCGTTTGACAGTGATGAGGAGTGGTCGTTTGACCGCGGACCCATTACGGACGCAGGCAAATAAGGCAGTGATCGCTGAGATCCTGGTTGAAGACAGCGGAGGTGTATTTAGAGGGTAAATTAGTCAGGATGATATCTATGAGGGTGCCCATGTTTACGGATTTAGGGTTTTACCTGGTAGGTTCCTTGATAATTTGTGTGAGATTGAGTGCATCTAATTTAGATTGTAGGACGGCCGGGGTGTTAAGCATTTCCCAGTTTAGGTCACCAAGCAGTACGAACTCTGAGGATAGATGGGGGGCAATCAATTCACATATGGGTCCAGAGCACAGCTGGGCGCTGAGGGGGGTCTGTAGAAAGCGGCAACAGTGATAGACTTATTTCTGGAGAGGTGGATTTTTAGAAGAAGTAGAAGCTCAAACTGTTTGGGCACAGACCTGGATGTTATGATAGAGCTCTGCAGGCTCTCTCTACAGCAGATTGAAACTCCACCCCCTTTGGCAGTTCTATCTAGACGGAAAATGTTGTAGTTGGGGATGGACATTTCAGAGTTTTTGGTGGTCTTCCTAAGCCAGGATTCAGACACTGCTAGAACATCAGGGTTGGCGGAGTGTGCTAATGCAGTGAGTAACTCAAACTTAAGGAGGAGGCTTCTGATGTTAACATGCAAAAAACCAAGGCTTCTTTACAGTTACAGAAGTCAACAAATGATAGCGCCTGGGGAGTAGGAGTGATTCTGGGGGCTACAGGGCCTGGGTTAACCTCTACAGCACCAGAGGAACAGAGGAGGAGTAGAATAAGGATATGGCTAAAGGCTTTAAGAACTGGTATTTTAGTGCGTTGGGTACAGATAATAAAAAGGGGCAGATTTCCGGGCGTTGGAGAATAGATTCAGGGCATTATGTACAGACAAGGATATGGAAGGATATGAGTACAGTGGAGGTAACCTAAGCGTTGCGTAACGATGAAAGAGATAACATAACTGGAGGCACCGATTGAGCCGGTCTCCGCGTGTATGGGGAGTGGGACAAATGAACTTTTAAAGTTTCTTCAAGTGCAGTCACAAAAACCATCAAGCGCTATGATGAAACTGGCTCTCATGAGCACCGCCACAGGAATGGAAGACCCAGAGTTGTCTGCTGCAGAGGATAAGTTAATTAGAGTTACCAGCCTCAGAAATTGCAGCCCAAATAAATGCTTCACAGAGTTCAAGTAACAGACATCTCAACATCAACTGTTCAGAGGAGACTGTGTGAATCTGCACCTTCATGGTCGAATTGCTGCAAAGAAACCACTACTAAAAGGACACCAATAAGAAGGTACTTGATTGGGCCTAGAAACACGAGCAATGGACAGTAGACCGGTGGAAATGTGTCCAAATTCAAGGCACACTTAACCAGCATGGCTACCACAGCATTCTGCAGCGATACGCCATCCCACCTGGTTTGGGCTTAGTGGGACTATAATTTGTTTTTCAACAGGACAATGACCCAACACACCTCCAGCCTCTGTAAGGGCTATTTTACCAAGAAGGAGAGTGATGGAGTGCTGCATCAGATGACCTATCTTCCGCAATCCCCCGACCTCAACCAAATTGAGATGGTTTGGGATGAGTCGGACCACAGAGTGAAGGAAAAGCAGCCAACAAGTGCTCAGCATATGTGGGAACTCCTTCAAGACTGTTGGAAAAGCATTCCAGGTGAAGCTGGTTGAGACAATGCCAAGAGTGTGCAAAGCTGTCATCAAGGCAAAGGGTGGCTATTTGAAGAATTTCAAATATATGTTGATTTGTTTAACACACTATGTGTGTTATTTCATAGTTTTGATGTCTTCACTATTATTCTACAATGTAGAACATAGTAAGAAGTGCCCACAAAGCTCATCACTAAGCTAAGGACCCTGGGACTAAACACCTCCCTCTGCAACTGGATCCTGGACTTCCTGACGGGCTGCCCCAGGTGGTAAGGGTAGGTAACAACACATCTGCCACGCTGATCCTCAACACGGGGGCTCCTCACGGTTGCGTGCTCAGTCCCCTCCTGTACTCCCTGTTCACCCATGACTGCATGGCCAGGCACGATTCCAACACCATCATTAAGTTTGCTGACGACACAACAGTGGTAGGCCTGATCACCGACAACGATGAGACAGCCTATAGGGAGGAGGTCAGAGACCTGGCCGTGTAGTGCCAGGATAACAACCTCTCCCTCAACGTGATCAAGACAAAGGAGAAGATTGTGGACTACAAGAAAAAAAGAGGACTGAGCACGCCCCCATTCTCATCGACGGGGCTGTAGCGGAACAGGTTGAGCGCTTCAAGTTCCTTGGTGTCCACGTCACCAACAAACTATCATGGTCCAAACACACCAAGACAGTCGTGAAGAGGGCACGACAAAGCCTATTCCCCCTCAGGAGACTGAAAAGATTTGGCATGGGTCCTTAGATCCTCAAAAAGTTATACAGCTGCACCATCGAGAGAATCCTGACTGGTTGCATCACCGCCTGGTATGGCAACTGCTCGGCCTCCGACCGCAAGGAACTACAGAGGGTAGTGCGTACGGCCTAGTACATCACTGGGGCCAAGCTTCCTACCATCCAGGACCTCTATACCAGGTAGTGTCAGAGGAAGGCCCTAAAAATCGTCAAAGACTCCAGCCACCCTAGTCATAGACTGTTCTCTCTGCTACCGCATGGCAAGCGGTACCTGAGCGCCAAGTCTAGGTCCAAAACGCTTCTTAACAGCTTCTACCCCAAAGCAATAAGACTCCTGAACAGCTAATCATGGCTACCCGGACTATTTGCATTGCCCCCCCCCCCACCCCTCTTTTACGCTGCTGCTACTCTGTTTATTATTTATGCATAGTCACTTTAACTCTACCCACATGTACATATTACCTCAACTAACCGGTGCCCCCGCACATTGACTCTGTACCGGTACCCCCTGTATATAGCCTCCCTACTGTTATTTTATTTTACTGCTGCTCTTTAATTATTTGCTATTTTTTTACTTAACACTTTCTTATTTTCTTAAAAAACTTTATTGTTGGTTAAGGGCTTGTAAGTAAGCATTTCACTGTAAGGTCTACACCTGTTGCATTTGGCAAATAAAATTTGATTGGATTTGATTTGTACTAATGAGCTATGTGAGATATAATGTTTTTTATCATAATAGAGGACTGCTGAAATTATATTATTTCAGTGTAGACAAGGGAAGGACAGGTTAAAATAAAAACATGACAGCCAGACAAGCCAGTGTATGAATCAAACTTTTGACCGGTAGTGTATATTTTGGAGCCAAATCTTTATTGGAGAGGAATAGGCTAATCTGTGTACGCGACCAATAAACTTTGATTTGGCGGTGGCACGAAAGAGGTGTGCGTATGTGTGTGCAAGTGACAGCTGTGCATCGTGTGATGGGTTGTAAATCACCAAGGGCCTGGCTGCAAAGCACGCAACTCTGCTGTCCCCAGAACTCTCTTATTAGGCCTAGGCTTCTTCTTTATATTGTAGGTAGGTTGTAGCCTACATTGCTAATAATAGGCTATGGAAATAGGGCCACTTTCATAAGCTGTGCACTGCTGTAAGTTGTTTTGACTTCCAATTCGATTTTTCCATCTTGATATTGTTTGCTTAATTTAACTCGTTGTCTAATAATTGTCATTCAAAATAAAGCTATTTGAAAAATGGCCTATAGACCGACTTTCCCATTTAATTGCTGCAACTTTAGGACACTGAACACCAGTCTATTTGGGAAATACTCTTCATAACTTTAACTCGTCTTAATGCTTTTGATCGGCTATTTTAATTAGTAGGATTTGCCTTTTGGTCGTTTTATTTGTAACAGCAAGGAAGAGGGATGCATGCATCATTTATTTTATAGCTAATAGACTACACTTTGCTGAACTGTGTTTTAAAAAAAACAATCTTGCTATGGTTTGTTCTACCCCTCTCATTATTACCTTAGGACTATCATGTTTTTAGGTTATTCAAAAACAACTTAAAATTTCCTGATATAGCCTAGAACTCCATTAGCTAAATTAATTGTTTGATCATGAAGTAGAATGGCGGGAGAAAGCCAGCATGCATAAAAACTGAAGTCATATTCATATCAAATGGAGAGAAAAAACAAAATTAGGCTTTAAAATAATTAGACACCGGAGTGTCCACTAAAAACATTCAGAGAGAGAAAAAATAACATTTTCTGACTGGACATTTTGCACTGCTTTGGTGAAAATCTTAGCTCTGTACATCATTCTCTTGCATTCTGTAAATTGTTTCAAACATATTTATTGAAATTGCTTATGCAGGCTACAGCAAAGGAATAGACCACCTGGCATGGCCCAGCTGTGGGCTGCCCAGTCAGCGCTACTGCGGTGCCAGTCAAGTTGAAATAGGCTATACATCGGTCACATCAAGATGTCGTCACCATCAACGATAGCTGTCAATCATCTTCGATATCCGATACTATCCTAATATCGCCCAACCCTAGTAGGCGTCACTCCATGTAAAATACCTCTATGTTTAAGACATTCCTCATTACAGAACTGGGCCCTTTTCAATAGTAATGAACTAGGCTATTCCATAGATAACCTTTGTCATGGTCAAACAACTTTCTATACCAACCAGTGAGGCAACAGATAAGGCCAGAAAAGTAAAACGTTCAGAATGAACATTTGGATGCCATCTTTTTCAACTGCTTCGGGGGCATGACTTTGATTTTCCATTACTAAGTTACTGGACAAGTCGCAACAGGCAGTGCAGCAGTGTCACTCACCCCAGATGGGTAGGTCATCAATGTACATTTGGTACCAATAGTGGTTCTTAATGGCATAAAGAAAGGCATCCCGTTTGGCTTTGTCCAGCTCGATTTCACAGTACGTTGTTTGCATGACTTCATCTGTGAGAACAAAATGACAAAAAGTGTTTAGTATTAGTATGACATAACACTAGAAGACAAAATGGAAGTGTAGGCTGCTTTTGGATCAAACTTCATGCTAGGAAAGAATATAATTGACTACTCCAAATCAAACAATGCTGATCAAATAGTGAATTTGTCACTCCACAGAGTCCAAGTACAGTTGCCTGTGGGTGTAGCTTCTTGGGTACCTTTGAACTTAATGTCTAGGCCGCTGAACTCCAGCTCGACTCCTTGCAGAGCCTCTCCTAATGTCTCATGGTAGTGGCTAATGGTCTTTTTGGTGCCCACGCAGAAGGGCAGGGAGAAGTACTTGTACGTTTCTTGTCTGTTGTGGTAAGGCCCCACTGTATTCATCCATAAAACCACCTCCTCTTTATCTGTGTACTGGAAAAGGGAAGAAACACATTAAACATGCTATAACTTACTTGTTTTGCTAGTTCTCAGATGGCAGCATTTTGTATGCTATTCAAGGATATACATTGTGCATTCAGGGCAAATAATAACAAAAACAGCCAACATGTCAGTCTATTCCAAGCAGCCTCCATCTATAAAAAGACATTGGATAGCAGCTGTCGGTGACAAAAATACATTGATAATGAGTCATAAAAAGTTACTGTTTTAATGACCCCATGTCAAAACCAATGCACACGACATACAGGCATGAATCAACAACAACGAAATGCATATTGAACTGTATACAGGTCTTTAACTGGAGTGAAAGCTCAAGCATGAGCAAGCACCCTCGTTAGTTGTCAGCTTGACAATAATGGGTGGAACACAATGTAGCGACAAGGGGCTTTATCCATGTAAAAACTTGGATGTCTGCTCGCGCTGGTTCTGTAGCCAGCTATTCATTCTGCACTAAGCGCGGATGCAGAGCTTACTAGCTAGTGCTAGCTGGCTACGGTACCAGTGAGGACCAAGTTGAAGCTTGCGCTTGAGATCCCAAAGCATTAACAAGGCTCTCTGCCTTATCCAAAGGGTTCTCAGCTATAAGCACCGCTTAAATCCAATTTCTGCTTGATCCGAAAATGTGGTCAGCGGCTCCATATGGAGGAAGCAATTGTGGCGCCTCTGTAGGCATGCAGAGGCCAAATTGAGCGCCGTACTGGATCGCCATGTGCCTCACAAATGTTGTAACAATGCGGAGGGCTCTGTATAGCTCCGCATTGACATGATTGGTTGACGGTAGGTGGTTGCGGGAGGTCCTGTATAAACAAACTCACTTCCTTGACAACTTCCTTCACAACAACGAAGCGCAATAAGTATGAATGCCCTGACTTCTGCAGAGGCCGTATTACTGTAAATGCTGTACGGCCACTGCAGACGTCAAATTGACCATGCAGAGCCTTTTACCGGTGAGACCATGTGAACTACAATCCCAACGCTCTGTTTTAATGTTTAGAAATGTAAATAATCACTTGCAATAGGCCTACGGTTTTTGAAACATACACTACATGGCCAGAAGAATGTGGACACGTGCTCGTCGAACATCTCATTCCAAAATCATGGGCATTAATATGGAGTTGGTCCCACCTTTGCTGCTATAACAGCCTCCACTCTTCTGGGAAGGCTTTCCACTAGATGTTGGAACATTTCTGCTGGGCCTTGCTTCCATTCAGCCACAACAGCATTAGTGAGGTCGGGCACTGATGTTGGGCGATTAGGCCTGGCTCGCAGTCGGCGTTCCAATTAATCGCAAAGGTGTTCGATGGGGGTTGAGTTCAGGGATCTGTGCAGGCCAGTCAAGTTCTTCCACACAGATCTCTACAAACCATTTCTGTATGGACCTCACTTTGTGCACAGAGGCATTGTCATGCTGAAACAGGAAAGGGTCTTCCCCAAACTGTTGCCACAAAGTTGGAAGCACAGAATCGTCTAGAATGTAATTGTATGCTGTAGCGTTAGGATTTCCCTTCACTGGAACTAAGGGGCATAGACCGAACCATGAAAACAGCCCCAGACCATTATTCCTCCTCCACCAAACTTTAGTTGGCACTACGCAGTCGGGCAGGTAGCGTTCTCCTGGCATACGCCAAACCCAGATTTGTCCGTCGGACTGCCAGATGGGGAAGTGTGATCCATCACTCCTGAGAATGTGTTTTCACTGCTCCAGAGTCCAATGGCGGCAAGCTTTACACCACTCCTGCCGACGCTTGGCATTATGCATGGTGATCTTAGGCTTGTGTTTGGCTGCTCAGCCATGAAAACCCATTTCATGAAGCTCCCGACAAACAGTTATTGTGCTGACGTTGCTTCCAGAAGCAGTTTGGAACTTGGTTGTGAGTGTTGCAGCCAAGGACAGACCATTTTTACACGCTACGCGCTTCAGCACCCGGCGGTCCCGTTCTGTGAGCTTGTGTGGCCTACCACTTTACGGCTGAGCCGTTGTTGCTCCTAGACATTTCCACTTCACAATAACAGCACTTACAGTTGACCGGGGCAGCTCTAGCAGGGCAGAAATTTGACAAACTGACTTGTTGGAAAGGTGGCATCCTATGACGGTGCCACATTGAAAGTCACTGAGCTCTTCAGTAAGGCCATTCTACTGCTAATGTTTGTCCATGGAGATTGCATGGCTGTGTGATCAATTTTATACACCTGTCAGCAACAGGTGTGACTGAAATAGCCGAATGTACTAATTTGAAAGTGTCTCCACATACTTTTGTAGTGTATGTAGCAGGTTTGCACAGATCCAGACTGCTGTGTGTGCCTCCAACCAACAAACTACAATTCCCAGTTACACACAAGTGTTTGGAGCGCGCTAGATAGCTAATTAATACAGGTGGTCAACAATCTTCTGTCTGACTTCTGTAAACAAGCGCTAACAAGGAGATACGGCCGCGTGGGATCACTAACCCTATAAAAAGGTGTGTAATAATTTAACCTTTAGTTTTTTGAAAAAAATGTATCACTGATATGAAAGATAAGTCTCTCATGTTTCCAAAACCGTCCCGCAAGCGATGCGTGTTAACGTTCAGACCTAGCGTCGGAGCTCTTACAAAACAACCCCGGCCAGAAGATACGTTCATGAATAGTCAAGTTAGTTAGCTAAAGGTAGTCAGTCTATGAATAGGTTGAAGCTAGCCAACTTGAATTATTGGCTAGGTTGAAGCATGATCAAACCACCATATAGGTTACAGGTCAGAAATCAAGATGGGCAAAAGTATTTAATTCCATTTGTACCGTAAAACGCAGAAGGCGATTTGCTTTTGTCTTGACCATTGGATATCCTACTTAACAGTAACTTACCTAGACAGGCCTGCCGCCTGAATAACCGGATATGCAGTCTTCGCACTGACATAACGTTAGTTCACTACCAAAATAGTTAACTAGCTAGGCATATTCCTAGAAGAGACATTTTGCTATATGTAGTTAACAAGCAACTAAATAACCGAATTATATGGATGACTGGTTATGAAAAATATTCCTACTATCATATGTATGCACTGAGATGTCACTGGCTAACGTTAGCTAGCTAACTTCTTCGCTAGCTAACTTTGGTCCCCTACATTAACTTGTTCGCCAACGTTAGTTATTGTATTTATGATTTATCAACATTGAACGTTAATCTCATATAACATAATGAACTAGCTAGCTACATGTATTAGGCCTCTTATTTCGCTGAGGTGAAAAATATAGGCTAATCGGTTGTATCATGTAGCTAGCTAACAAGCCAGAACGTCCATTATTTTCACCACCACACACAAGGCTTCCCATTTTCAATCGGCCTCAAATGATCTTACCGTGTGTTCGTGTTCATCTGCCTCGATCGGCATTAATATCTCGGCAACCGAGAGAAAGACCACCACTGCAATCTTCCACCTGGAAGACCCCATCATTTTCTGGGAAAGTTTGCAGATTTGGGATGTTAGCTTTGTTAGGGCTATCCCACCTTCTTCCTGGTTGTATGACAGTGGCAGGTTTTCAGGATGCTTTCACACGCATATGGCGTAAATTGCCTCACGAGCACGCATCGCATTCGCTTGTGATTGATGCAGAAATGTCACATGGCTTGTAAACTCAAATCAAAATCGAAGACGATGAATAATCCGTTGAATAATGAAACTCCGGCTGTGCTCCGGTTTCTATACTGTCCGCCACTCTCAGCCACGTCATCCGACTGCAAGTACTAGAACTGCCTCACCTTTGGGGGCATAAAACCTGGCCCACTTCTCATGTATGACTATACTGTTGATATCTCATTTTACAGAGACATCTCATTGAACAGATGTATCATAACCATCATCATTATATCTGCTAGGATTTGTAGGTACACCTCATTACATCATCATAAAATACAGTATGTATAACTTTATTCCACTGTAGTGATTTGTCTCTTTTAGTCTTTATCTCAGACCTGCTAGTAACCAGCCATGTAAACATCCAACAAGAACATTGATCAGGTTTTATTTATAATTTAATACTTGCCAAAAAGAAAAGCTTTTACAGCAGTAACTTTTCTGTAATCACCACTAAGAATTCACCTAAGCTTGACACTTTAAACATTGATTAATCATAATTTTTCACATTTATAATTCATAGAAAGGAAACATACCGTCAGTCAACAAATGTATTGCCTCCATCTCAAAAGTTATGTAATTTGCACATAGGCTATAGCTAGATAATATTGCATTGGATGTCTCAGTAAATGCTAAGCCCAGAGCTGGAACTCATATATTCTCTTTTTTCCCAGTCCTTTCAGCTAAGTAAGTGCTTTACATGACTAGCAATTTAACTTCTATCTGATATTAGATCAATGATTGGACCATGTGATTGAAGTCCACCCTACTGATTTGCCATAAGGTAAATAGACGTGCAAACTGTGTATCTAGGTTTTGCAGTTCTCTAGATATGTTTAAACAATTGATGTCCAAAGGCTCTTCCGCATAGGTCACCGAATTAGGGGGGCAATGAATGTACAAATTCCCTGTAACGATATGGATGAAAAAAGGTGTACGTTTATAGTTAGAATAAAACATTGATATAGAATCGGAATTGCCTTTTTTCCCAAATAGAAATTGCAATTGAAGAGTTGACAGGATTTCCTCACCCGATGATGTTTGGCAGGTGAAGGTTTTTGTACAATCCATTGTGAAGGTACCCATGGGATCTGGCGAGCGGTATCATCTTTACTCGATTCTCTGAGTTTTGAGCGCTCTGTGCAATTTCATACAGCTTGATAGGAACACAACAAAGGATTAGAGGTGGAAACTTCCTTATCTGTAAATATCATGTTTCCAGGAACCGTTCTTGCTATAGTCATTCAAACCATACAGATAATATCACAAATGTTGCCTGTGATACAATGGACAGATGACAATAGAGACATAATTGTTAGTTACAGTAAAAGTATCAGCCACACCTGCTGAGCTATGTGGATGTGCACTATGTGGTCATCCTCTGCATGAAGTATCAGAAGAGGACTCCTCATCCTCTTCAAGCTGTAGAGACATGGTTAAACATCACTTTCATGAACAGTCAACCTCAAACTCTCAGAACAATTCTGAAACACATTTAGTTGCAGTGGGTGTAGCAGTTATTTTTTTATTTTTTTTATTTCACCTTTATTTAACCAGGTAAGCCATTTGAGAACAAGTTCTCATTTACAACTGCGACCTGGCCAAGATAAAGCATAGCAGTGCGATAAAAACAACAACACAGAGTTACATATGGGGTAAAAAACATAAAGTCAAAAAATACAACAGAAAATATATATACAGCGTGTGCAAATGTAGCAAGTTATGGAGGTAAGGCAATAAAGAGGCTATAGTGCAAAATAATTACAATTAGTATTAACACTGGAATGATAGATGTGCAAGAGATTATGTGCAAATAGAGATACTGGGGTGCAAAAGAGCAAAATAAATAACAATATAGGGATGAGGTAGTTGGGTGGGCTAATTTCAGATGGGCTGTGTACAGGTGCAGTGATCGGTAAGGTGCTCTGACAACTGATGCTTAAAGTTAGTGAGGGAGATAAGAGTCTCCAGCTTCAGAGATTTTTGCAATTCGTTCCAGTCATTGGCAGCAGAGAACTGGAAGGAATGGCGGCCAAAGGAGGTGTTGGCTTTGGGAATGACCAGTGAGATATACCTGCTGAAGCGCAGACTACGGGTGGGTGCTGCTATGGTGACCAATGAGCTAAGATAAGGCGGGGATTTGCCTAGCAGTGATTTATAGATGGCCTGGAGCCAGTGGGTTTGACGACGAACATGTAGTGAGGACCAGCCAACAAGAGCGTACATGTCACAGTGGTGGGTAGTGTATGGGGCTTTGGAGACAAAACGGATGGCACTGTGATAGACTACATCCAATTTGCTGAGTAGAGTGTTGGAGGCTATTTTGTAAATGACATCGCCGAAGTCAAGGATCGGTAGGATAGTCAGTGTTACGAGGGCATGTTTGGCAGCATGAGTGAAGGAGGCTTTGTTGCGAAATAGGAAGCCGATTCTAGATTTTACTTTGGATTGGAGATTCTTAATGTGAGTCTGGAAGGAGAGTTTACAGTCTAACCAGACACCTAGGTATTTGTAGTTGTCCACATACTCTAGGTCAGACCCGTCGAGAGTGGTGATTCTAGTCGGGTGGGCGGGTGCCAGCAGCGTTCGATTGAAGAGCATGCATTTAGTTTTACTAGTGTTTAAGAGCAGTTGGAGGCTACTGAAGGAGTGTTGTATGGCATTGAAGCTCGTTTGGAGGTTTGTTAACACAGTGTCCAATGAAGGGCCAGATGTTTACAAAATGGTGTCGTCTGCGTAGAGGTGGATCTGAGAGTCACCAGCAGCAAGAGCGACATCATTGATATACACGGAGAAAAGAGTCGGCCCAAGAATTGAACCCTGTGGCACCCCCATAGAGACTGCCATAGGTCCAGACAACAGGCCCTCCGATTTGACACACTGAACTCTATCTGAGAAGTAGTTGGTGAACCAGGCGAGGCAGTCATTTGAGAAACCAAGGCTATTTAGTCTGCCAATAAGAATGCGGTGGTTGACAGTCGATTTGTTACCGCATATTGCAAACCTGTATTATGATATCAAAATAAAGGATGACAAGTACGCTGAAAAGTTGCAGGAACCAAAACAAATTTACAACAACATATTTTGTTTTAATTTGAACAAAAATACTTACTTTTCATTATTAGGGAAGATTGTATTGTTTTCTGCCATTGTGTCCAGGAAAAAGTACTCAAAACCTGGGAACTTCCAATAAAACTGAGGACACAATGCAGTTTAGTACATTTAGTAGTAGTAGTAGTAGTAGTAGTAGTAGTAGTAGTAGTAGTAGTAGTGGTAGTGACAGATCCTCTAATAACTTAAACTCACAACTTAAATCTCACAAATACTGTACTGTGTATGAGGGGAACAAGCAACAAATGAAACATGTAAGTGTTAAATCAAACTTGAAACATAGTCCAGTCTCTTGAATGAACAATGCTTACTTTTAAAATCAAACAAATAGCAGTTAAACATAATCATGATTTAAATAATGAAAAACCTTACAGTGGAATGAAATACACATCTCTCTGGAGTGTAAGACAAAGGCATTACAGGGAAAGTTTAAGTTAATCAAGGTAAATGTAATAAAGGTAATCAAAGGTAATATTGTGTCTGCTTATGCAGACGCAATATTAGTTTTGATTACCTTTGCCTTTATGAAATTTGCCTTACACTTCAATTACATTACATCTGAGACATGTATTTTATTTGACTGTTAGACTCTTCATGATTTGAATCGTGGTCATATGATTTAACTGTTATTTGTTTTAATTGAAAGCTGAGCATTGTTCATTTAAGAGACAGCTGTGTAAAGTTTGAGTTAAAGCATAATTGTGTGCAACTGTGCATTGGCATAAATAATCATTTCCAATTGCTTTCCTCAACAGACTGAAGTCACACGTTTGGTCACTCACCCAGTGCCAAGGGATTGTCCCCATAATACCACCAGACTGCTCCCACTGCGGGCTTTTACCCACTGGTACAAGTAGAGGGTGTCAGTGGTTAGACCAACTTCAGTGGGCTCGCTGGTGGAGTCCCCAAAACCTGTCAGAGTTTCTTATATCAATGGCTGTACAGTATGCAAACATACCAGACTATGTATAGGCCTATCATGTCATGTCATGTCTGTCTGCCTGAGGTAAACTTGATGCAGTTGTACACCGATTTGTAAATGACCACAAGAGGCCAGTCAGAGGCAAAACAACCCCAGAGGGTAAGGTGAACTTTACTACAGTATTTGGAATTGGGAGTTGGTTATCAGTCTCTTTACAGCAAGGTGAAATAACACACCACAAAATGAGGCTAACGTTAGGTTGTCAAGGATATGTGTATTGATTGTTAGAATTTATTTAGATTAAGTAAATAAAGCAAACATGTTTCAACAGTCTAGTAGAACTGAAGTTTAACCAACCTCTGTAGTCCAAAGCCAAAACATGGTAAGGAATACCTGGGATAGGATAAAGTAATCATTCTACCCCCCCCTTAACCCACCCCCCCCCCCCCAAAAAAAAAAAAATATATATATATATACATACATACATATTGTAAAGTGGTTATCCCACTGGCTATAAGGTGAATGCACCAATTTGTAAGTCGCTCTGGATAAGAGCGTCTGCTAAATGACGTAAATGTAAATGGTAATTCATTGCACTCAAAGGACAAAGGCCAATCACCAGTTTATCAATCATGCCATGTTGAAGTAATTTTTGTTGTAGTCGTCAGTCACTTACATTTATTACTCCCACACGGTGACTTGCTGCCCTGTTTGAAATAATGTGTACTTTTACATTCAAAGTGAGAACATTTGCAATATTATTGTGTAGCAATCCATTGTTCTTGCTACCTTGTGCCTCCATTGCCATGGAGATAAATGATGATCAGATTTCCAGCTCCCAAAGAATCTTGGTACCATTCCAAGTCCTTTCCCTAAGGCCTCCTTCCACTGACTTTCAGGGACTGTGTGCCTTGAAGATATTGTACAGTGACAACACTTGTAAGGGACTATGTACTGACTTTGATGTATAAAGTTCAATGCTGTCTTTATAAAGCTACACTGTCCAGTGGCAGTGAATGTACTTCAGATGTAAGGTAGGTAGGCTACATTAACCGTAACTCACAATGTAACCTGGAGAAAGGGTTTATGTTAGCCTACTCACCATACGCCCAATGAGATCCCTTGCTCGGATGTAAGGTACATGTTCACTGTGTGGTTAAGAGACAGGTCGGCTGGCTGGCTATGGTCGACCAAGAATGGGACCCTGACTAAAAACAAGGAGAGAATATATACTAATTACTCTGATTTGTTATTCCTAAATTTGTCCAGTATTTTGGATAATTCTCATGATTACACTCGCTCACCTCTGTGAGAATAAACAAGGTGTTTAATGATGTCAGGGAACAGTCCCATCATGAAAGGCACAGAAACATTAATGACACACAGCCAGGAGACCACTTTTGATCCCACCACAACAAACGGGAGCTAGGTCTGAGACAGAGATAGTGAGAGAAAATGCATCATCACTTCCCCAAATGCAAGAGAAAAAAAATAAAAATAAAGCATAAACATTACAATGACAACTGGTCCATGCTGTGTCAGCTGACGTTACATTGGCATTGAAGCGCATGTTTCGCCAATAATAGGCCTATTTACTAGACTAGACTATAGTCTAGGCTAGACGAGAGGATCATTTTACGCAGTGCTAGTGCGATGCGCAGCCTACCAACTAACCTCCGCTGCGCACTCTGACACCCTAGTTTTATTTCCGGCAGTCTTCTGCTCCTCGGAATCACTGTCACCGGTCCTCTTCCTCATCCTGGGACGTTTACTAACCGAGCCACCAGTTCTCTGCATCTGTAATGCAGCCGTTCTGGTCTGATTTAAATTGACATCTAGGCTATGTGACTAACGACTTTATGGCCTACCGTACGTATGTTTTTTAGTCTACCTCCGAGGCTCTATGGGTGAAATAACAGTAGTCCCACATTGTTGATAAGGAAATGCGGGAGGAGTTAAGCGGGTTTAAGGTAACCTGTGTATGTACAAGCCATGCAATAATGCTTCCGGTCTACCTTGTGAATTTACAAATTAGAAATATGTGTGGCAATCATAAGGATAACAGTCTTTCATAGAACCCAATCCCATCGCACAAAGGCATACTTCAGTTTATACACTAGATGGGGACATATGATACTTGTGTTAGAGGGTTCTTTTCACATGGCACATATACAATTCAGTAGTCTACCTACAGTGTAGGCCTTTATGAATAAGGAATTTGATGTTGTAACATGTTGGAAGTGTTGGAAGTTTTCATGTTTTATGACCACAGCAATGCAGCGTTGAGATCCACTGTGCTTCAATGTACAATGGCATGCACTGAGTGTACAAAACATTAGGAACACCTGCTCATTCCATGCCAGACTGACTAGGTGAATCCAGGTGAAAGCTATGATCCCTTATTGATGTCACTTGTTAAATCCACTTCAATCAGTGTAGATGAAGGGGAGGAGACAGGTTAAAGAAGGATTTTCAATCCTTGAGACATGGATTGGGTATGTGCCATTCAGAGGTTGAATGCGCAAGACAAAATATTTAAGTGCCTTTTGAACGTGGTATGGTAGTAGGTGCCAGGCGCACCGGTTTGAGTGTGTCAAGAACAGCAATGCTGCTGGGTTTTTCACACAACAGTTTCCTGAGTGCATCAACAATGGTCCACCACCCAAAGGACATCCAGCCAACTTGACACAACTGTGGGAAGCATCCCTGTGAAACACTTTCGACACCTTGTAGAGTCCATGCCCCGACGAATTGAGGCTGTTCTGAAGGCAAAAGGGGGGGCAACTCAATATTAGGAAGGTGTGCTTATTGTTTTGTACAGTCAGTGTAAGTTTAGTATCACCTTTCAACAGATCAATCCGACTTTTCAAACCTGCTGAAGGCGTGGTAAACACAGTGGTGGAAAAAGTACCCAATTGTCATACTTGAGTAAAAGTAAAGATACCTTAATAGAAAATGACCCAAGTCAAAGTGAAAGTCATCCGGTAAAATACTACTTGAGTAAAAGTCTAAAAGTTTTTGGTTTTAAATATACTTAAGTAACAAAAGTTAATGTAATTGCTAAAATGTACTTAAGTTTCAAGACAGTAGAGATGGCCAGGGATGTTCTCTTGATAAGTGCATGAATTGGACCATTTTCCTGTCCTGCTAAGCATTCAAAATGTAACTAGTACTTTTGGATGTCAGGGAAAATGAATGGAGTAAAAATTACATTTAGGGATGTAGTGAAGTAAAAGTAAAAGTTGTCAAAAATATTAATAGTAAAGTACAGATACCGCAAAAAACTACTTAAGTAAAAATGCTTTAAAGTACTACTTAAGTACTTTACACCACTGGGTAAACACTACCCCCTTCTCTACTAGGGACATGCTTGAGGTGGTCTCCCACAGCTCTGCGTATGTCATATTCTGTGGCCTTGCCGTTCCATTTCTTGACTGCGCCTGCAACACAGAAAGAAACATTTAGTTATATTATACTGAACAAAAATATAAACGCAACATTTCAAAGATTTTACTGAGTTACAGATCATATAAGGAAATCAGTCAATTGAAATCAGTCAATTATGCCCTAATCCATGGGTTTTACATGACTGGGAATACAGATATGCATCTGTTGGTCACAAATACCATTAAAAAAAGGTAGGGGCGTGGATCAGAAAACCAGTCAGTAGCTGTCGTACACATTGATTCAGAGCATCCCAAACAGGCTCAATGGGTGACATGTCTGGTGAGTATGCAGGCCATGGAAGAACTGAGATATTAAGGAATTGTGTACAGATCCTTGCGACATGGGGCAGTACATTATCATGCTGAAACATGAGGTGATGGCGGCGGATGAATGGTACGACAATGGGCCTCAGGATCTCGTCACGGTATCTCTGTGCATTCAAATTGCCATCGATAAAATGTAAATGTGTTAATTGTCCGTAGCTTATACCTGCCTATACCATAACACCACCGCCACCGTGGGGCACTCTGTTCACAACGTTGACATCAGCAAACCGCTCGCGCACACAACGCCATACACGTGGTATGCGGTTTTAAGGCCGGTTAGACGCACTGCCAAATTCTCTAAAACAACGTTGGTAGAGAAATGAACATTCAATTCTCTGGCAACAGCTCTGGTGGACATTTCTGCAGTCAGCATTTCAATTGCACGCTCCCTCAAAACTTGAGATATCTGTGGCGTTGTGTGACAAAACTGCACATTTTAGAGTGGCCTTTTATTGGCCCCAGCACAAGGTGCACCTGTGTAATGACCATGCTGTTTAATCAGCTTTTTGATGCCGTACCTGTCAGGGGGATGGATTATCTTGGCAAAGGAGAAATGCTCACTAACAGGGATGTAAACAAATTTGTGCAGAACATTTTAGAGAAATACGATTTTCGTGCGTATGTAAAATGTCTGGGATCTTTTATTTCAGCTCATGAAACATGGAACCTTACATGTTGCGTTTATATTTTTGTTCAGTGTATATAAAACACTCAAAGTAATGGATATGTAGTATCTATGGCCTCGGTTACACCCGGCACTTAAATGCGACTTCTGTCATCCGATCACTCCAAGCTGCACAAAAGTCACATTGTGCTCGCAATAGGTTCAGATCTGCCAGGACTGGCATTGTGTTTGGAAATTTGATATAGTCTGGATGCAATCAGGCCACCAAATATATGCATAGGCAATGTAAAGAGATGTGGGGAAATGTACATTCTACACAAATTACTTTCATAAAAACAAAGAACAAATGTGTGTGCCTGAGGGGAAATACACTTTCATACAGCCAAAAGGGGCGAGAAATTACATGAATATCGGTGGACAATTTGAACTAATGTAAATTAACATAGATGATGGAACATATTCCCTTTTGCTTATGAGATGAACCGCTATGGTGACAAATATCTAACATCTAAACCATGTGACCTCTCACCTCACTGGCTGTAGTAGTGTTCTTCCTAACCAGTCCCTCAACAGCTCTCTGATTGAGCGCCACCCTCACTGGGTCTTCAGAGGAGAGGAAGGCTGGGGAGAGATGGAAGGATGAATCAATCAATCATTCAACAAGTCAGTAAAATAAAGAGATCTCCCACCCATGAAGAGACCTATATACTGTATCTTACCCTCAAGAGGTCTCGGAGGTAGCGAGGCGGGGCGGCTTGGCTCATCTCCTGGTCAGTAGGGGGTGAGCGAATCATCACTGGCTCATAAACACACAGGACAGGGACATAGAGCCTAGTTAATACATCACTACTATAGAGAGAAATAGAAATGGCGTCTTTTTGTAGGCACAGTCAATCACACACAATCAACAACAATGTCATAAATACACATACAGTGCCTTGCAAAAGTATTCATTCCCCTTGGCGTTTTTCCTATTTTGTTGCATTACAACCTGTAATTTAAATGGTGCGCAATCTAAGTGTCACATGATCTGTCAAATGATCTCAGTATATATACACCTGTTCTGAAAGGCCCCAGAGTCTGCAACACCACTAAGCAAGGGGCACCACCAAGCAAGCTGTCACGATCGTTAGAGTGAGTGGACCAAGGCGCAGCGTGAAAGGTGAACATATTTATTAAATAATGAAAACACGAACAAAAACAACAAACGATAACGTGACGTCCTCGGTCAAACACAAACCACACTGGAACAAGATCCCACAACCACTGTGGGAAAACAGGCTGTCTAAATATGGTTCCCAATCAGAGACAACCAGCCACCGCTGACACTCGTTGCCTCTGATTGAGAACCATTCTGGCCAACATAGAAATACAACAACTAGACACGAAAAACAAATGAAAACTCACACCCTGGCTCAACATACTAGAGTCCCCAGAGCCAGGGCGTGACAGTACCCCCCCCCAAAGGCGCGGACTCCGACCGCGCTAACCAAACACCACAGGGGAGGGACCGGGTGGGCACTCCGCCTTGGCGGCGGATCCGGCTCCGGGCATGATCCCCACTCCCTCTCTAACCCCCCAAAGTACCCCTGGTCCGGTCTGGCCCTGCTGACCGGAGCTGGACTGCACACTGGTGGAGCGGATTGCTCTAGCTCCGGCGTGAAGCAGCTGACCCGTGCCGAACCAGGCACCGGTGGAACAGGCACGGGCTGTGCCGGACTGACGACGCACACCACTGGCTTGGTGTGGGGAGCAGGAACGGGCCGAGCCGGGCTGACGAAACGCACCCCTGACTTGGTGTGGGGAGCAGGAGCGGGCCGGACCGGGCTGACGAAGCGCACCACTGACTTGGTGCGGGGAGCAGGAGCGGGCCGGGCTGACGAAGCGCACCACTGACTTGGTGTGGGGAGCAGGAGCGGGCCGGACCGGGCTGACGATGCGCACCATAGGCTTGGTGCGTGGAGCAGGAACAGGCCGGGCTGGGCTGACGACGCGCACCACAGGCTCGATGCGAGGAACAGGAACAGGCCGGACCGTACTGGGGACACACACCACTGGCCCTACGCAGGGATCAGGAACGGGCCGGACCGGACTGGTAACACACCCCAGTACCTCTCGCCGTGCCTCTACACTTTCCCTCTCCTCTGTGACCAGTGGCCCCCTTAACCTGGCGGCCTCCTCTGCAACCCCGCTGGACCACTCTATAGCGGCCTCCTGCTGCCCCGTCGTCCACGGCGTGAGCCCCCCCCTAAACATTTTCTGGGGGTCTCTCCTCCCCGTGGGCCAGGCCCAGCCAAGGTTGATGTCCTTTAGTGATACCTCTGGCGCTGGCTCCTGGACACGCTGCTTGGTCCAGTGTTGGTGGGATCTTCTGTCACGATTGTTAGAGTGAGTGGACC